ATTATCTTATTGATCTTTTCTCTCTCTCTCTCAATCCGTCAAAGGTTTTGACTGGTGATAGTGCTTGTTTGTTTTCGTGTTTAGGTTGGATGTCATCTGTTTGTTTTATTTATTATTATTTTTATTTATTTATTTTTGTCTAAATTTTTTTCTTGTGCTTTGTATGTTTTCTTCCATGTTTTTAGTTGATTGTTGTTCCTTTCGTTTTTTAAACATTACGTTCAAATAAGTTTTTTTCTTCGTATCTGTAGACCTAATGTGTGAATATAAATAATACAACTCCCCTTTAAATAGATTGCATGGGTCATTCAAAGCTCATTAACCTCGTAATTAACCACGTCGACTAATTACATCGACTAATTACCACGTATATCTAACATCTATTTAACATTTCCCAGGCCCATTACTCTCCTACTTACCCACGTCGACTGAGGACCTCGTCTCGCTGTACCTCAGGAGGAACCCGGACGTGGCGCAATCTTACCACTGCCACCAGACGTCTTCTCACAGTCCTGCCGTCGACGCCGTGCTCCTGGATGCCATCGCGTACGCCCATTCTTGTCTGCTAGGTGGGTGGGCGTGGTTTGGAATGAATGAGACGTTGTTTTTTCTAATTATTGGGGTGGGGGGGGGATTTTGTATATTTTCTGGATGTTTATCTCCGTGGCCCTCTGGTGCGATGGGATGAAGCTTCCGAGCATGATTGGTTGATTTGACTGCCCTCTAGCGGCACTGCGACGAATTTGTGAAGTTGATTTTCTTAGGATTATCTTTCCGAAATACAAGGAAAAGGGAAACACTTCAACTTTCCTTGGACACCTCTCTTTATTTGTCTCACACACTTACGGCCGGTTTGTTAAAATTGTGCCTGGCCCGACCCAATGAATTTTCATAAATACAAACGCAGAAATAAAGGCCTATCTGTGTATATATCTGATAATTGTACATTTACAAACATATGCATGTCTAGACTGATAAATATGCATTTGTTTCTTTATTTCTGCATGTCAAGCATACGAATATTCTTTGGATCGGGCCAGGGACAATTCTGACAAACCGGCCGAATATCTCTTGATACATAACAGACGCACAAATACCGCATACCAAAAGCAATCCCAATTATATGTTGATGACAGCAAGCCCACCTAAATTGGACGCACACACCAAATACCAATACCAAATTCGCTCCCCTGAAAAAAAAAGAAAATATTGCAAATCCCACCCTTACCTCATACTACATACCACATATTACATACCACATATTACATACACCATACACGTTATACATATCACATACCACGTATTACATACCACATATTACATATCACATACACGTATTACATATCACATACCACGTATTACATATCACATATTTACATACCACATATTACCATACCACATATACATACCACACACCACATACCACATACTACATAACACATACTACATACTACACACCACATATTACACATACCACATATTACTGCATACCACATATTATACATACCACATATTACTACATACCACATATTACACACTACATACCAACTTCACCCCCAAGACCTTAGAAAAACATTGATCCCGCCAGAGAAAGTCTCGACGCAGGCGGCCAAGCTAGCGGCGACCGTGGAGGCCGAGGCAGCGGACACCAGGGCAGCGGTGGAGATGTGCCAGCGGTACATGGAGGTCATTCGCTCGTCGACGCCCTGCAGCTGCTCCAGCCGCCCGCCGATGAGCCTCCGACCTCAGCAGGTGCGCGAGGGGAGGGTGCCAGAGGAAATGAGGGCGAGGGGGCGTGGTCCTGCGAGGTGCGGAGGATGTGTGGGTGCGGGGGCGTGGTCCTGCGAGTTCGAAGGGTGTGTGAGTGGGGGGCGTGTCCTGCGTGGTGCGAAGGATGTGTGAGTGCGGGGGGTGGTCCTGCGAGGTGCGAAGGATGTGTGATGCGGGGGGCGTGGTCCTGCGAGGTCGGAAGGTGTGTCGCTATCAAGAGAGAGTGAGAGTGGGCTGGATAAGTAGCCAGAGGAATGAGTGTAGGCAGATGTATCGGGCTGTTTAATGAGCATAAGGGTCGAGGGAATGAATATAGTGATGTGTTTGTTGGTTGAGAGGACTGAGAGTGGGCTGGGGAAGTAAGTCAGAGGAATGAGTATGGGCAGATGTATAGGGGAATGTATCTATGAGTGCAATTGTTGTGGGTAATGAGTGTGTGGACTATAGATGTGCTTGGTGGGTGTTAGTATCGAGAGAAAAGAGTGTGGAGAGGGGAAGGAGCCACAGGAATGAGTGCGGGTGGAATGAGGGCGTCGTTATCAATGAGGGAATGAGAGTAGACGTATAGTTGTGCTTAGGGAGAGAAATGGGTGTGGCCAGAGATACTGAGATTCTTGGTGAGTATAATGCATGAGTGGGGGTAGGTGTATAGATGTGTTAGGTGGGTGTGATTATCTAGAGCAGGGGTGGCCAACCAGACGATCGCGATTTGATTGGTCGATCGACAAGCCTGTTTTAAGTCGATCACACTACTGTACCTGTTAAAGAATTCGTCCTTCGAGAGTTGTCATGCAAATAGCATATCCAATTACTCATATCCAAGTACTCATATCCAAGTACTCATATCCAAGTACTCATATCCAAGTATTCATATCCAAGTACTCATGATACTTGGATTACTACATTTCTCTTTTTTCTGGGAATAAGTTATATTTATATTTATAATGATGGACATGTCTGAACAAAATACAATTCTTTATAAAGACTACATTTATGGAATAGATTTGAATCTTAGGCTTGTATCGCATCAGGGTAACTGTAGAAAAAGTAGATCATATTTCACAAAAAGTTGGCCATCCCTGATCTCGAGTAATGAGCGTGAAAGTTGTAGAATGAGTGACGTTCTCTGGGATTTTTTTATACTGATTTTCAGCCTTTAACCACTCCCTTTTGCACGCTATTTAGATGATTTTGATTGTATATATAACTGTAACAGGACTTTTATTCTTATTGAATATGTATATTTCTCTCCTTTCCTATCCACCTTGCCCCTTCCCCACATCCCCCTCTTTAACCCCCCTTCTTTTTCCCCCTATCCCTTCCCACCCCCTCCTCATCCCCTCCCTATTTCCCACCCCCCTCCTCTCCCCTCCTATCCCCACCCCCTTCCTCATCCCCCTCCTATCCCCCCTTCCTCATCCCCTCTCCTCACGCCCCTCTTCCATCTCCCATCCCCCTCTCTCCCCTCTCCTACTCCCCTCACCCCCCTCTCCAATCTCCAATCCCCCTTCCCCTCCGAATACCCCTTCCCTCCCCCCCCAATCCCCCATCCCTCCCTCCCCCCAATTCCCCTTCCCTTCCCCTCACTCCCCCTACCTACCCCCCCACCCACCCCAACCCCCATCACTCCCCCACCCACCCCCTCTCCCCCCTACCTACCCCCCCCGCAGACCCACCTGGCTTGGAAGGCGACCACCTGTCCGACCCGATTCTCCAGCTGGAGCAATGCTGGCGCCCTTCTCGCCCATCCGCCACGTTCTTCTCCGCCCACGACACGAGCGGAACGGCCTGATGAACGCCTCCCTCAGCGCGTCGATTCCCGAAGGAGGACGCATCAGCACCCTCGGGAGGTTGGCGCCCTGATTTTTTTTTTTTTAGTTTTCGTTTATTTTTTTCGTTTTTATTATTATTATTATTAGTTTTCGTTTTTTCTTAGTTTCGATATTTTTTTTAGTTTGATAATTTTTTTTTTTTTTTGTTATCGATTTTTTTTTTCGATTATTATTATTTTTTTTAGTTTATTTATTATTTTTTGTTTTCCTTTATTTGTATATTTAGTTTTCGTTCATTTATTTACGTTAATTAATTTATCTATTTATGGTTAATTTAGTTATTTGGTTATCTGTTTATTGGTTTGTTTGTTTATTTTTATTTATTTATTTTGTTTTGTATTTTTTCTTTATTTGTATACCTATAATTATTTGGTTTGGTTATTTGCTTATTTATTTTTTCTTAAAATCTATTTTATGGCACTTTTCTCGCTTATTTGTTAGAATGCAAATGGCTTTTTTAAAATCTTGTATTGAAATATGGCGGGTTTTCTCGTCTCGGAAATGGTATATAAAACAAAAATGATAATTGAAAAAAGTATATATGGCATAAAATCATGTTCTAAAAAATAGCGAATTTCTTTATTTCTGAAATCGTAAATAAAACAAATTTAGATTGATTGATTGATAGATATAATAAGTGACATAAACTAATATTACTCCCTCTTTCTCCTTCCCCTTCCTTATTTCTTCCTCCCTCCTTTCATTCCCTTTCTGCTTCTTCTTTATTTTTTTTTTTCATTTCCTTTCCCACTCATGTCCCTCTTTTCTTCTCTTCCTTTTTCACCTCTCCCTCTCCTCCATTCTTCCCTTTCCCTCTCCACCCTCCACTCCTTCCCTTCCCCCCCCCTCCCCCCTTCCCTTCCCCCCTTCCCACCCACCCATCACCTTCCCTCTCCTCCTCCACTCTCCCCCTTCCCCCCCCCCCTCCCCTTCCCCCCTTCTCCCCCTCCACTCTCCCCTCCTTCCCTCCCACCCCTCCACTCTCCTCCCCCCTTCCCTCTCCTCCCCCTTCTCCCCCACCTCCTCCCCTTCCCCCAGGCCATCGAGGTCCTGACGGCGTGGCTGACGGGAGCACCGCGACCACCCGTACCCTGACGACGACCAGAAGGCGTCTCTGGTGCGGCGGACGGGACTCTCGACGCAGCAGGTGGGCCACTGGTTCACGAACGCCCGGCGCCGCCTCCTGCCGAAGCTGCGGGCGGATCTGACGAAGGAGTGA